GGGGGGGGGGGGACAAGTGTGATATGTCAACTATCTATGTCAACTATCTATGCATAACAGATTGGTAGAAAAATTTGTGTATTTTAAATTTAGGAAATATGAATTCATTTGTGCGCGTAACTATTTTTTAGATTACGTGAAAAGAATCTATATTCTGTTGTGTATTTGATAGGTAATTTAAGTATTTTAAATTTAAGAAAATATGGATTTTTATAAAAATACGATGTATTTTTTAGGTTATGTGGAAAGAATCTATTTTCTCTTGTGAGTTTGAATAGGTAATTTAAGTATATAGAAATGTAGATTTATATAGGATTTTGCGCGATCTATTTTTTAGGTTATGTGAAAAGAATCTATTTTCTCTTGTATGTTTGGTAGGTAATTTAGGTATATGGAAATGTAGATTTACATAGGATTGTATGCGATTTATTTTTTAGGTTATGTGGAAAGAATTTATTTTTCTTGTGAGTTTGAAAGGTATCGATCATATACATCGTGACAGAAAAGTTTGTGGATATTTTAGTTTGATTTGAAATTTAAGTATATCGAAATGTATATATGATTTATATAGGATTGTGCACGATTTATTTTTTAGGTTATACGAGGAAAGGAGAATTTATTTTCCCTTGTGAGTTTGAGAGATGTGATGGATAGGTTGACTATCTACGCGTAACATCATGACAGATTGAAAAATTTATATATTTATAATTTATTATATTTATTTTCTCTTGAAAGTTTGAAAATAGAAAAATTTTGGAACAATTTGTATTTCAATTGTGATTTATGAGAATGATTTATTTTTGGATGAGACTAATTGTTTAATTTTAAACAATATTTTATATTTTATATTATATAGTTTAGTTTTGAAAATCGAAAAGTTTAAACTATTTTTTTCTAACATTTCGAACATTTTTTTTGTTAATTTAAAATTAGGATATTTATTTCATCCAACAATTTAATAGTTCATAATTATCATCTGGCTGATAACATTAACATAAATGTCTAAATATAATGTGATAATATCAATCAATCAACTTTTATTTGAACTCTTTCTTGATCGAGGATTGATAGGATTGAAAGAGATCGAAAGATAGGTTGAATAGAATATCCGGAAACTAGTCGATAATATTTAGATCAAAGTTGTCGAAGTTGTACATAACTTGTATGTTCAAACTTTGTATTATGAAGTTTTGGACACGGTGAAGTAGCTTTGGAGAAAGCTTTATATTACGGTTACTTGTTACTTGTTATTGTTATTTGATGTAAAGCTTCAGGATCAATATTAAGAATTATATAATACTTGTTGAAGTTTCAGTTGATATTGCGAATATTCGTGTCGAAGTTTTATTTTTATTGATACGAGTGAAATTCTCTCTGTTCTGAAATTCTCGTTCTCATATATCTATCTGAATACATCGAAAAACTATTGTTTTAAATATTAAGTATCTATTATTAATTTCGTTCAAATTATAAATAAAATAATTTTTGTGATAATAATTATTGCAAGATATTATCGAAAGATGATTGAATTTTTTTTTTTTATATATTAACCAAAATGGTTAACAGCAATTATGATATATCCAAATTTTGCTTTTCATAATGTTCTTTTAAAATAAAATCGAATTAACAATATTTCTTCATTTCCTTTTTTTTTATTATCCATTTGTTATTTTAACCATTTAAAAATGGGGAAAGATGAACGGTGCTGGGAGAGATCAAAAAAATAGAGATGCAACAATGATCTCGAAATCATCCTCTTGTGGGTTTAAGAGGTATATGTGGGTCAAGTGTAAACACTTTAAAATGACGTCATAGAAATTGTGCTCTTTAGTTGAATGTTTGATTCAAAGATATTGGATATAATTATATAATGCAATATTATTTATCTACATTACAGAACGAAGCTAATGTACAATTCTGTATTTATTCCTCGTGTATTCTATTATTTCAATCTATCGTTGAAATTTCGTAAATTTCTAAGAAAATTAATTAATTTTTGAAATTTGCTAAACGAGAGAGATGTAAAACGTAAAAAAGAAAGAAAAAAAAAAAAGAATTATAATAAACAAAAATTTGTTCGTCGATTACTCTATAGATAAAATATTTCTTTTTATTACAAAGGTATTTCGTTTTCATGCTTCTAAAGATTTTAAATATCTCGTTGCACGATAAGATTTTAATTAATAATTAAATTACTTCTGCTTCACAAGCTGCACGTGAAAGGTATTAAAAGGAGAGGCAAACGATATAAAGAATTGCTTTAATTATGCACCATCGCCCAATAAACTATTTTATTATCTATTTTAATAATTTTATTTAATAATATTTTTTTGTAGCGATTTCGATATTATACGCATATTCATGCAAAGAACTCAGTAACGTTTAGAGATAAATATTTATTTAATTATATTTTACAAAGTTATTAAAATTTATTCCCTTTTCTTTTCTAATTTTCATTTCATAAATCGTGCAACTCTTTTTTCTCTTTTTCTTTTTTAATTGGAATATTATTAAACTCGTGCATCTGAAATGTCGTTACTTCGAAGTTTAAACATGATGGATTAATATTCATCCATCAAATTTTGTTCCATTGTCAATTATTATCGATCATTTAAAATAAATGAAATTTGTTATAATACAAATATTGAATAATCTTGTAATAAAAATATTAAAAGAAAAAAATAATTAAAAATAATTAAAATATAATCATTAAACAATTAGATTCAAATTTTACAAAAATTATCGAAAGCATAAATCAGGAAAAGGTATTATTATTAATATTAATTCGTAAAATATAAAATCAATGATAAAAATAAGCGAAAAATTATTATTCCACAAGAAGATTTTTAAAGGAAAATTTAATTAAAAATAAATCTACATATATAAATATTCCAATTCAATCATTTCTACTATGCATACCATTCCATACAAAAAAGAATACTAATTCAAATCATCCAAAAGATTCGATCATTCATTTACTCTCGTAGCAAAAAATATATATAATTCACGCACGCACGATTAAAAATTAGAATATCAGAATTAAAAAAAAAAAACGAAAAAGTCAAATCAAATCAAAGAAGACGCAAAAATTCGTGAGATGGGATAGGATGGGATAGTTGATTCTCATCCATCACGATCAAAGAATTTTTTTTACTATGCTACTATTCGATAGTCGCACTGATTGCACTGATTGAATATGCGAATAAATCGAACTATTTACCTTTCGATCGAACGTAAATAAGGGCGTAAAAAGCGTGCAGGGAATTGTACGTGCGCGTAGTACGTAACGGTATAATATCCCTGTTTACATTACCATTATAATGGGAGCTGTAAATCCCAACTTTCCCTGCGACCCGTCCACCCACAGGCATTTTTGCGTTGCTTCACTCGCCGACCTGAAACTGCGAAAATTCCATCCGTGTTATTTGTTTCCTTTCGTGTCTTTCTGTACTTTTTGTTTTTTTTTTTTTGACCAGTTTTACTTTTTTTTTTTCGTTCATTTGTTTGTTCGGCGAGACACGGCTTGATATAGGGAACGAGGAATTTTTGAATGAGTAGAGAACACTTGTCCTCTTTTTTTTTTTTTTGGAATTATCACGTATATATTTTATTCGAATTAATTAATAAATAAAGATGAGAAATATTCGTGAATTTTAATCTGCGCGTAAAACATATGGAATGTTTTTAAATAATTATATAGTTATGAAGATTTATAAAAAAGAAAAATTGATTGCATTTTACTTACTTTTTTTTTTTTTTTTAAGTTAAATTAATTGTAAAATAACCGTAGGAGGATTTGAAACAAATGAAGACAGGAAATATTGAATTAATCTCTTAAATAATTAAATAAATGATAAGCTATTGAAAAATGTAATGAAAAATTTAATGGGATGTCAGGAAAGAATTTTATTCCTCGCTTAATAATAATAAGTAATAAACGTTAAAAATGAAAAATAGGAAATAATCTATAAAATATTTTGTGTCAAATCAAAAATGAAAGAAAACAGATAATTATTTTATAATTAATTACGATATTAATCCCATAAAAGATAGATAAAAATAAGCGTAACAATAACGTAACCACAAATAATTCCAGATCATATTATTACAGCGTATTATTAATGGAAAATAAAGCACAGGATCATTAATAATTAAAAAACGACAATAATATATACTCGCTATTACTGTAATTGATACAATATAATTGATATAATTACACGGGTTTAATAAACTAAATATATCCATTAAATTCAAATTTCAAAGCCGGTTAGCAAATACAACCGGCTATAATGGCTATGATTTCTACGGTTGTTATGTCACAAATGATGCAATTCTCGGTTGAAACGGGATTGATGTTTGAAATATCGATTCCCATTCTGTACGTTATATCGATTTTGCATTCTGTTGTTCCTCAAACGAAAATAAAATATCTGTTGATAATTCTCGATTGATATTATATTATATTAAATAATATAGGAGACGTGTGTTTATACAAAGTGATTAAATATGACGAATGATAAAAAAAAAAGTAACCATAATTTTTTTTAAAGAAATAAAAGCAAAATCTTTTAGTAGGATCGATTAATTAAAAAAGAAAATCGTATATTTTCCATTTTTTAATTGATTTCTAATTCTCAATTATTCTATTCTTAAGGAATAATTTTACGTCTTTTCTTCAATTGTATATATAGCATGCAAGATCATTTATATAATTAACAACAGATTTATCGCATTATTACAGAAGTTATTTTACCTTATTTTATCTCTATTTTTATCTCAACCTTCCACTTTTTCTCTCCTTTTTCGTACAATCATCGTCGTTCGTCCAAGTTTTTCTTAATGGATTACCAATGTTGAGTAATGGGCAGCTACGATCGATCCAATTCGAAACAACGCGTTGCGATCGTTTGTTACGAGGCAAAGCGGGAATAAAAAGAAGAAAAAAAACGCGTTCGAATTTCTTTGCATATCGAATCAATTACGCCAATCCTTTCAATGATTTTTTTTTCCTAATAAAAATCGAACGACTCTATCCATCTAAATAAACATTTCGAAACGATGCTTCTGACTTCTCGATTCGAAATGAATTAAATTTCTTATATATGCTGATTGGAATTTGTTTAATCGCAAGTTGTGCGTATGATTCGAATTATCTATTTGTTGAAATAAGGCTAAATAAATAATCAGATTAATCTGAAGATCGATAGATGTGTTTCGATATACGATCATTAATGTAATAAAAATTTTAATTGTCTTCGCAGAGATCTCGTTCAAGTGAATTTTGAAACTTTGAATTTTATAATATTGGTTGAAAAGTTTCGTATAAAATAGTGTAGAAGGTTTATGTAAAAAGTTATTGCAGAGAGTATATATATAAATCGTGAAGAAAACGATAATGATTCGAAAATGTATTTCAACAGAACTCGAAATAAAAATTTTAATATTCTTCTAAATTTTGATGGAGTGGAAAATGGATATTATTATTATTCGATTGTGAAATCCATGAAAGAGGATACATTTTAATTAAAATTTGACGTATTACAATATCTGTTCAAAATTTAAACATCGAAATTAGTAATGATAATTTTCATTATTTAATCTCTTCTTCTTCGTTGAAATTGTTTTATTAAAAAAAAATAATAATATAAATGATCATTATCTTCGAAGTTAATACAAGATAAGAAAATAGTTACTCGAGAGATAATATTACAAAAATCATTTGATATCTTCTTACAACGTTTAATACGTTTCTATTCGAGAAACTTTATCGTTTTCCTCTCGAAAATAGATGAACCGTTACACTTGTTTCTTAATTGCAAATAAAGTCTTCCTTAATAGAGTGCAAATTAGACGATTTAAATTCTTTAACCGTATCAACTTAGCACCGATACATTTGTAAAGCGAGAGAGAAAGAGAGAAAGGTAGAAAGTGAGACGAATGGTATTTAAATTTCCCGCCAATACCAAGCTGTTCCAAATATTCTCCAAAGAGAAATTTCAAATTGTTCTATATATTTGATCGATATTAGAAGAAAAAGCACGAGAGAACTGTATAACAAAATATTTTCCAACGGAAGAAAATTATTCTCTCTGCAAAGACAAATTTAAAAAAAAAAAGAAAAACGTATGAACAAAACTTAAGTTACGTTTCATAGAGATTGCCTGTTGATATTTCCTCTCAAACAATTCAATCTATTCCCTCCAACCTCCATTTACTTTACAATCTTAATTTCTTCCCGTTCCACAGGTCGAAATCCAACAATATCCGATAAATTCTCAAACAATTCAACCCCTCTCCCTTCCCAACTCGATCAATCCCCTCGTATGGCGAACAATTTCCAAGTAATTCGCGTGAAACGTGGGAGGTAGGGAGGGAGGGAGGGATCAACGTGTGTGCACGTGTTCAATGCAACTGTTGGAAACGCGCTTTTGGATAAAAAGGATAGTTCACCTCGCCTTTAAGTAAGCGTTTGAATAGATTCGTACATACACATGCGCATACACACGCATACACACACACACACAATCCTCCATCTTTTGTCCAGAAAATTGGTTAGACATCGCGAATTAAACTTCGAATTAAAAGTGCTTAGCCGTGGAACAAATTCTCGTGAACTTTGCGAAAGGGGTGGCTTTGGAACGAAATCAAAGAGGGAGTTTTACACTTTAATTTGCGAATGTGAGCGAAAAAAAGATTATTATGATTTGTTAATTTGTGACTTGAAAGTGGAAGAACGAAATTAGTTTATTATTCAATAGAAGTTGTTCAAAATATATTGAATTATTAATTATCGAACAACGAACAATAATTTATTCGTTGTTGTGGAATATTATTATTTTGATGGTGAAAGATCAAGTTAATAAATAAATTGTACAAATTAAAAATTCAATTCGAGTAGGAAAAGGGAAAGGAATTGATTAATACAAAGGGATATTATTATCGATAAATAATTTGTGAACGAAGAAAGGTGGAGAATATTTTATAAAATTATTTATAGAATATGAAGGAAAGATGATAAGAATTTTAATAACGAGAGAAGAAAAGAGTTCATTATGAAACGATTTCATTATGAGGAATCGAATAGAAATGGAATCAATTAATTGATAAATCCGGATTTTAATATAAAATGCAAGAGAAACGAATATTTAAATAATAAGAGAATAATATATGTAATATGATGTTATTTGCCGAACTACATAGGGAAATGGTTAAATTTGAAATGGTAAATCGAAATGGCGACGAATATGCAAATAGAATATGCAAATTGAAATAAATACTATATAGATATAAACGTGGATACAAATGGAGAGAGGGTGGAAAAGGATGTAATTTAAAAATTTATGAATATTTGGTTTGGCGAATCGATCAATTTCTAAATAAAATATTAAAATATAGAAAAAGAAGAAGAGAATAAAGTAATAATAAAGATTAGAAAATTAAAAGTAATTAATAATTTTAAATTCATAAATTACTTTGTTCAAAATAAATAACAATAATCTTATATTAAATACTTGTTAGTATTTTTTTATACTTTATAAAGTACCAGATAATATTTGAAGAAGTATTTCAAGAAAGTTATTAATTATAATTACAAATTTCACGAAATATTAAATATTTGGAAATCAAGTTTTGAAAATTTTATAATTTAAAATAGTTAAATAGTTGATATATTTATATATTAAGAGAATTTTTTTTTTCTTTCTTTTCCCATAATATCGAGATCAAGGTGAATCTATACTCTTTCGTAACTTTGATAATTGTATACATTCTGAAAGAGTTCTTGCTTCTTCTTGGAAAATCTCCAATTAGGTCTATGCAAAAGTTTCCTTCTTTGTTACATTTCTATAAGAACGGATGATTTGTGAGTTTAAAAGTTTAGCCAAATCGAATAATAAGGTTCCAAAACAGAAGATTAATTATTCAATGGCGGATGAAAATGTGAAATTGAGAAGCATGAAATTCAGACTTGATTTCTGTCTTCTACAGTTATTTCCAACATACAAGATGTTTCTTATATTTCTGTTTTAATCGTTTCTATTGTTACATTAATAATTTCTTTCATGATGTGATTAAATATTTTTAAATCTTTTTGCAAATCTAAAATAAAAAGTTTCTTTACAATATTAGGATTTTTAAGATCAAAAAGTTTCCTGTAACTTTTAATTTGCTGACAAAAAATTAAAAAATAATTTATATTTATTTTTTTATATAATTCTATAACTTTACCTTATTCTCTTTAAGGATTTCAATGTTTTCTGAATCTTCTTCAAATAGAATATATCTAGGTTTCTTTTTATAATCTATTTTTTTTCAACACTATTCACATTGTCATGATTTTTTAACAAATTTTAATCATATTTGCATAATTCTTCCATTTATTTTTACAAACACATTTCGAACA